AACTTATTTGATAAGTTGTTCAATTTAGAATTCAAATTAATTTAAGTTTGACTTAAATTCGAATTTGAATTTGAATTAAAATTGGACTACAGGATAAAGGATGAATTATCTTCCTTCCTTATCTAGTTTTGGCGCCACACACAGGGTTAAAAAACCCTAAGTGTGGCCGGCCACCTTGTGGATAATGGGAAGGAATTTTCTGTTCCAAATTCAAAATTGGAGATAGGGATTTCATTTTGTTTTGAAGTTTGACTTCTACTCTTTAAATATGAGAATGATAGAAAATTGTGTAGATAATTTTTGAAAACAATTTTCAGCCCTAAAATTAGTTGGTGGCCGAATTTCTCATTGGAAAAAAGAGAGCAAATATTTTTCTCCAAAAATTCCACATCGTGCATGCGTTGGTGTTTGTGGAAATTTGAGTGTTTTAAGAAACCTGTTTTGTCTCACGTGTGCCCACACACACGTCTACGTGGAATCAAGGAATTGAGGTAGAAGACTTTGGTATTCTAAACACAAATTTGGAGCAAGGACTGTTCGTGGACAAAGAACTCAAGTTATCATCCAAGTCAGCTTCCAGGTATTTTTCTGGATTGAGTTCTTGATATATAAATTAATGCGATTAATTTATTCGTGCATAAATTAATATAATCTATAAAGTATCTCAAAAGTTTTATGAAAATTTTTGTCATACACGATCTGCCTCTCCCCGCCACGCTTCCGCACCCGAATTCGATTCGGGATCTAACAATTGGTATCAGAGTGGTCTATAGACGATATTAATTTATGCTTCGATTATTTGATAATCAGAATCAATATATTAAATATGTGATATTTAATTATGTATGTATGTGATGGGTAGGCACTTGCATTTATGGATGTTTATTTTAATTCATGATGATGAATGTATGGATGGTGGATTTGGTCTTAATTATATGGTTCCATGGATCGGTTATATTCATTTATAAATAACTTATTTGTAATTTAATTCAGGATTAGAATTATTGTAATTCTAGGTTTTGGGTAGAATTAGAGTTTTTTGATTTTGAATCAAAATGGAGGCCTTGAAGATCAAGTTTGAAGCCTTTAAAGAAGCCCAGAAAAACTGCCCAGAAAATTCCTAGAAAACAGCCAAAAGGCGCGCTCCAGCGCGCCCCAGCGCGCGTCCATCGAGCCCCAGCGCGCGGCCGAGCGCACGACACCAACGCGCTCCAGCGCGCGGGCAGGGTGCGCCCCAGCGCGCAGATAGTCCGCTCGGGCGCGCGAACAGTCCGCGCGCCCACGCACAGCGCGCGGCCATTTTGCGCGCGCGCGGGGCTAGCGGCCCAGTTTCAGGATTTGATCCCGAACGGCCCCGAAGGTTTCTAAAACCCTCGTAATGCGTGCTGACGAACCCAGAAAAGTTTCAGATCCCAAGGAAGGTGAAATCCAACCCGGAGACAAAGAATGAAGCCGAAGAATTAAGAACTCAAGAATCGAAGACCCGTTGATGTAACGGAAGAATAAAATTATTGTAATTATTTATTTATTCGATTCGATTGAGTTGTAATTTATTTTTTCGTGGGACCCGGTCAAATCCATCTCAATAGCTGATTGCATATATTTATATTTTATGTTGATAATTATATATTATATGTCCATGCATATAACATGCCATATAGATATAATGTATCTACTCATATGTTTAATAACATGCCATGCATATACGCGCATTTGTTATTGTTTATTTTATTTAGTATAAAAGTGTTTTAGAAAAATAAAATAAAATAAGAACCATGCGCTAAAATCGATTTAATATGATTAAATTGATTTAGTTGCAAAATTGATTTGCAAAATAATGATAAATGTGAAATTGAATTTAAGAGTTAAATTTTGAAATTTCATATATCCGAAAAATAAATTGTTTATTTTTCGATTTGAAAACCATGAGATGTTTTTTCAAATAAAATACATATTTGTAAAATAATGAGTTGGAGAGGGTTGTATGACAATGCGACCCACTAGTATCTGATTAACGCCCAAAAGTGATATTCACAAGCGGTCAATTGTAGCACAGAAGGGCGGTCGTATCCACAGAGAGATAACAAAATAACAAGAAAGACTAACAGAATAAGAGCGTTAGAGAAAAGTGAATTAAAGAAAAAGAATAGTTTTTGAGAATTTGTTGCAAATAAAATAGAAATGAGAGAATTTGTATGAAGAAAATTCAATAATAAAAACGGTACGGTGTCGAGAATCCCTAATGTTTCGTTCACCAATCCAAGTTTTGATTCACAATATTAAATAACCGAATAAATTAAATCTGTATGTTGACTCCAGAAATATTATTATTACAAGTTATCTAAAATCGACAATA